GTCCCTTGGCTAGGGTCAAGAGCAACTATTGAAACTGTGTATTCTGAGCTTGGAGATCCTTCACTGTTTGCTCAAGATCCATCTTACTAAAATAAACAGTAGAGAGATGAGGAGACTTGTTGTAAAAGACCTGTTTATGTTATGATGAATGGTATATGCATATGTAATGATTTCAAGGATTTCAAAGATTCAAATTTGTTTTAGACAAAAAGAAAACACACGTTATATTAATAAGTTAAAGCTTTAATACATCAATGCCTCTTGGTCAAAATAATAGAAAAACTCTAAGATAAAAAGGTAGTACGCATCCTCTTTGGTGCAATGTAGCCATTTAGAGTCTGCTCCTCATGAATTAGCCTAGTGAGTTCCAAAACCTTCTTCTCGCTTGCGTAGAATTGGGCTTCGAAAGTATCTCGCTCTCCTTTGAGTTGTATCCAATCCCTTTGTAGGTCTTCAAGAGACGTGGGCATGTCAGGATGTAGGATAGTGTATGGAACATCTCCTTCCTTAACAGGCTCAATAACTACCAGGAGAACAGAGGGGTAAGGCATCATAAGACTCTGAGCACGAGCTCATACCCATTTGAGGTAAGACTCAAGAGGGATGGAATTCTTATGCCCTAAAGTCTTGCTATCCACCTTGTTTAACATCCTCCAAGCTTAGATAAATCTCTAGCGAAGACCTTGATTGTCGTTGTCGTAGTCAAATACCAAACCTTGAATCAGCATCTCATGCGGGCCATCCCTTCGGGCATAACCAAACTATCTTAAAGCTAAGAAAGGGTTGTAGGTGATACCTCCCCTAATACCAAGTAAAGGGGCATTAGGGAATTCTCCATAACGGTCAACAATGATAACATTCTCTTTGGATCGGGAGCACCAATGAATGTCTGAATGTTTGAGCATCATCAACCTTTGTGACCACCTTGAACCTTGCTCATTATTTAATATAGATTGGGGAAGATGAGAAGTAAACCATCTTTCCAAGAGAGGAGCGCAACACTTGAGGACACCTCTTTTCCTCATTGTGCGAGTGTGAAAAGAGTGTAGGATATCCCCTAGTAATGTAGGCACAGGGTTGCGTGATATGAATATTTTGACGGTGTTCACATCTATGAGTTGGTCAGGGTTTGGAAATAAAACCATCCCATAGATGAGGAGAGCCACAATTTCCTTAAAGCCTTGCAAGTCCAAGGAATTCCAACAGCTTTGGGCTTTCTCAAACAAGAACTTTGCTAAGAAACCTTTGACACCACTCCTTGTTTCCCAATGGGTTGTGACATCAGATGAGTGAAAGTGTAGAGCTTGAGCAATGTCTTTTGGCTTTGGGTCTCTTTCCGTACCGTTGAAAGGTAGTTGATTGAGAATGGGAATCCTCAAGAGTTGGGAGAATTCTTCCAAAGTAGGCACAAGTTGATAGTCGGGAAATATGAAGTAATGGTGTAAAGGATTAAAGAACTGAAAGAGCACCTTCATCATGTCCTCATCTGTGTTGGAGATGACCAAGTTGAGTAGGCGACCATGTCTCTTGGTGAAGGGAGAGTTTTCAGGAATCCTTGAAGCTAGCTCCTTAAGTTGTGGAGGGATCCTCACAAGGTTGACTTGAATAGTTTTCCTGCGAAGTGAATCCATATCCTACAAAACAAGAACAAAGATGAATCCCAAAATCCTTGAAATGGTTAGTGGATGTATATGATGTTCATGATGTTATGTACAATTATGCATATACAAACAAAGCAAACAAGTCCTTAGTTTAGGCTTGCATGGAGTTTTATAGGTAAGTACCCTCTTGAAGTTTAGTTGGCTTAAACTTGTCCTAGTAATAGTAACCGGGTTCTAAGGAGCTCAATATCACTGGATTGTTTCCTTGGTCATTGTTTCAGCTCAAGCCTCTTTAATGGCGACCAAAATATCCCAAGAAACCAAACCTCAATGAGTGTAGTATCGAGTACCTACCAACTTCGGACTGCACCAAATTCGGTCATCTCACTACATCCTAAAGGCCAAGTTGGTCAAGTAAAGGTTCTAAAAGTTCATTAGTGCTTCATGACATCACTCAGCAGCCTCGTATTCTCTTTGATTAACTCAAAGGCTACCGGTACCCACAAATATGTCGCACTAACATAGCTATTGCTTAGACCATGTCAGTATACCCCACACAGTTTCCACAACGGATTTCTACTTACCTGTAATGTATCCCAAATCTGGGTAGAGGATTCAAACCCAAACAAAGAACCATAATGTAAAGCATACAAGTCAAACAAATCAAGTAAATATGATCTAACCCTAAGTGTCATACCCCAATTTTTGACCTAAGATCCCTGCTACATTTGCATTGTTTTATATATACATCAAGGTCACAGAATATGGTAGGTTTCGAACGTTTCGCCTTCGAGCTTTGACTGTGTAGAGATTATCGAGTGTTGTGAGAATTTTATCTTATGAATGACTAACCACTAATCAAGCATGAAGTGTATGTTTTGTTTTTTAATTTCATGTACAAGAAATAGGTCTGAAAGAAGAGCATCGGACGTCACACATCAATTAGGGTTTCGAGTCTCAGGACAGAAATGCGGTCGATCGTTGATTCTCAAAGGCTGGTTCATCAAAGAATTTCAGAGAATCGTGTGTTTATTTCCACACTCTATCTAACAGATGGTCTCCAGTGTCTCTGAATTTTTTTAGAAAGAACAGTCGAGGTTCTACTGCCATTGGTTCATGTGTGTTTCAAATTGCTTTAAAATACAAGAAAACCAAGCTATTCAAGTCATTTCTGATCACTTCGACCAAAAGTCATCTACAGGTTTTTCTCATGACGCAGGGTGAATTTCGTCAAAATGGGATGATTAAATTCAAAACCGTTCTAGAAGAATTTATTTGGAATACTTGGAATTTTCTTTATTTGAATTCAAGCGATAATTAAAGAAGAGCTACCAAGAGATCTAATTCAAGAATAATCGTTTATCGCATGAAATGTTTATTCAAGATTATTTTGTGTGATTATTTTGGTGGATTTACATTATGGTTATTTGAACACACATGAAGCATTTACTAAGGAGATATTAGAAAAATAAATTTGATTCAAATAATCGTTCATCACAAGATTAATTACATGAGGGTTGCTATTTGATTACAAAATCAATTCATGTGATTTATTTGGATCTCTATTACAAAATGCAAGATTAAAGTGGGCTTGCATTATAATTTATTCATCATTCAACAATTTATTCAAGTATTATTCAATTCTTTCCCAATTCAAATGGAAGACCTTGAATTTTTATCAAGACATATCAAGATTCAACTTCAAATGAAGATTCAAAGTTGTTTACAATTACAAGGGAATTGAGAATATATTGAAGAATACATATCCATTCATGTTACAATTTACTTGGATTTATTGTTACAAAGTTACAAAAGAAATTCAAATTTTGTATATGAAAATCAAGCTATTGTTCTTGCTGCAAAACAGCCTAATGCTGCCCATTTTTTGCAGCACTATTTTAATCCAATAACAGTCCAATTCTTGAGTATAATATTGTTCATTTTCTCCAACCTTGTTTCAACATAAACCATGCCAAGTTGCTGTCCTAATCTGCCCTACAAAACAGTTCAAAATGCAGCCCATAAGACAAAAATCTGCACCTTTGCTGCTACAAAAACCAGTCTACAAAACTCCAAACATTGCACTAAAATGCACACTTCAAAAAGCTGTCTCATAAAACATCAAAACAGGGCCTAAAATAGTTCAAATATCTACTATTTTTCCCCTAAAACCCCACATATTTCACTATAAATAGAGGCCTCTTCATGAACAGAATAGGGGAACAACACAAAAGAAAGGAGATACAACAAGAGAAACACAAAATTCAGCAAGACAACACAGAAAATTCAAAGGTTCAACAAGAGAATAAACAAAAAAATAAAAAGCTTATTCAAAATATTAACAGCAAGAGGATAAATAGAGGAGAGAAACTTACTATTTTTTCTAGAAGCCCCATCAGAGAGACTCTGATAGGTTTTTTTTCTTCCTCTCTATCTACTTCTGCATATATCCATTTTTGAATCTTCTTTGCACCACTTTTGTGCCATATGTTTGCTTGGAGTTGCTGCATTTTTTGTTGGCATTAGAATGTTAGAATAATAACAGCAGGTGCGGGCAAACATACAGTAATAACACAAATAATGTAAATAAAAAAAACCTAGACTTTCTAATGAGGCAACCCCTTGATACACATTCCTCAAATTCTTGCCAGATTTTTTACTTCCCATGCTTTCACGCTCTTAATACTAACTCTTTATCACTCTCTTTTGCTCTTCTGTTTACTCTTCCTCTTCTCTAAAATACTAACAGCAACGCCAATAATCCTTTTTCCTCTTAATCAACATCTACACTTTTTTTTTTGTTCAGACCAAAAAGAATAAGAACTAAAACTTTCCTAGGTTCTAACCCATCCTAAATGACAACACTGAAACCTTCCTTTGGTTTCTGTGTTCGTTTTCACTTCAGGCGCGACTTTAAAGCGCTCAACATTCTATCAAGTTTCGGTTCTCTCTCAAAATTGAAACACCGAAATACCGACTCCAAACCTCAAACAACTCTTCCTCCATATCCATCCAACCAGTAACCCTTACAGCCCAGCATTCATCCTGCACCTAAATGATACTCACTTATCAGTATTCTGCAAACATTCATCTTGTATTGTGACAATCTCCAACCGATAGCACATACTCCTTCAACACCCACCAAACATCATTCTCAAGACAAATAAGTAACATCAAAACACACGATAAGAAAAAGCAAAAAAACAAGATGGTTACTCACCGTCACAATGGCCACTTTGCTGTAATCTTCCTCAAACTAGAACCACCACTTTCAAATTAAAAACCATAATCACCTTTTCAAAGACCAAGCATAATCGATACCAAACCGATACACCTATTAACGACGACCTGGCTAATGATTTGGCTGATCGTAGTAATTTTCTATTATCCATCAAAAGGATGAGAATAACGGATAGTTCTGAGAATCCTCCACCTGTGACTAGATCTGAGATTCTAGAAGGAAAAGTGAAGGATCATCTATGGAGGAGGTCAGTTTACAAGATGTCGATTTTCTGAAAATTGAATTTGAAGATGATCTAGAATCAATAAACTTAGCCTCGTAGGCGGAAGTTGAGGCTAAAACCTCAGGAATCAGTTGTCGGTAGAGCTTATTCCAGAACGACATTTTCACTGTTGATCCATCTTTAGATGTAGTAAGCCCTAACAGATCACAGGGAAGCGAAGGCCAGGTAAAAGCACGAAGACAAAGAGAATCACATTATTTACACAACAACGACTAAGAAGAGGGCGAGTGAACTGAAGTGTCCGGTTACTGGAAGAGGATCCGAAGGATTCCATATTTGAGACCTACTGAATACGAGAGGTCTAGATTGTCTCGCAACCTTCGAATAGTTAATAGAGCATATGGTGGTGTTTTATCTGGAAGAGCTGTTAGGGAAAGGATGATTCGTGCTTTCCTTGTTGAAGAGAAAAATTTTGAAGAAAGTTTTGAAGATACAAAAGACAAAAGAAATCTAGCAACCCATAAACCTCGAGAATCTTTCTCGTTTGAACCCAATAATTTCATCAATAAAATTGTTCCTTCTTGCATCCTGAAACTCATCTCTTCATTCTTCTACCGTCCCATCAACCTTCATGTCCATGTATTTCTTCCTTTGCTGTTGGAGTTCCCCTTATCTCACCGATAGACCGCTATATCCCTTACGGTAATGACATGATCTTGGCAAACAATTCTAGGTGTAAAGATCCCCGGATCTCGAAATAGTTGTCGAGGTTTCACGGTAGAGAGGTGATTATTTTTTATCGTCCTCACATCCATAGCCAGAATCATCATGAGAAGAGTTGGTTTTCAAGAAGATTTTTGGGTTCTTGAATTTGTTCTGATTTTGATGCAACTTGAAGTTGAATCGTGCTTATGAGAATATAGATATGGATAAATACATATATAAAGTGTTTGTGTGGAAATCAATTTTATTTCATACTCTGAAGGCTCTGCAAGTTTCAATAATAATAACAATGAAATTTGAACATGTCCTTTCCCAAGACAATACAGCGGCGCCTTTCTCTTAGTCTAGGGTTACAATTTTTTTCTTTGTTCAATTCCAAAACCGGGTCAGCCCATTGGGCCTGCTAGCCCAATCTGCTATCTTACTCACCCTTTTGTATTAATTAAATCGTAGTAATAACAGTTAAACAATACAGTTCAATTGGCAAGGCATGTTTGCAGTAACTTAGAAGACCTGGGTTCAACTCTCAGTTAGGCAATTTTTTTTGTTTTTCTTGATTCTTTTGGCCATTATTCTATTTTTTTTATTAAACATAATTGATAATAAATTAATAACTTAGTTTATATATAATTTTTTTTCTTTCCATTGAAACATACAAAAATATATTATCAAATTAGTCTTTATTTAATTTTTCTATTTATTTAATTATTCCAATACATGCTAATGAATTATATTTTATTTAATTTTTGTTTATTTAAATACATGCTTATAAACTAATATTTTATTTAATTTTTGTTTGAAAATGCATGCTAGTATAATTCAATTTTCATTATTTATTTAATCGTTCAATTGTCATTTTAATTAACTTTATTCTTGATCGCTTAATCTTTATCTTCCGTGAATCTCAATTCCAAGGGAAATGTTTTAACCTTGTTGACTTCACGTCATCAAACACATCTCATCCAATCGTGTAAATACCCTCATTCATCTTTGTTTGTTTACTATTTTTCTAAACTTAAGATAATTTTCCTAAAAGACTCCATTTTTAAACTCACACCTTTTAAGTCAAAACTTCGACATTAGGTCGTCGTATCTTCAAAATCCCGTCCACACCCATTATAGCCAAACAAACCATTTTAATCAAACAAATAATTTTAATAGACAGATATTTCAAAAGGTTCCTATAGGATACTATAGATGCATTGGGTGTTAATACCTTCCCATTGCATAACCAACCCCCGAACTCTAGATCTCTTTTCAAAATGCATTGTATTTTCATTACTTTTAAGTATTATTTTACATTGCATATTTTAGGGTTTTATTTCGCTATTTTCCCTTTTCCCTTGGAAATAATAAAGTGTGGTGGCGACTCTTGCTTTTGTGAGTCGAGTTAATTAATAGCTCGATCTCCGATTTACCCCGCTAAATTTTTTATCGCTACAGAATTGGCGACTCTGCTGGGGAAAGATTAACCTCTTGTTGGTCCATCCCTAAGTGGGTTAAGCCTAGTTTGTCTTATTTGTTTTATCATTATTTGATTGTTTGATTATATGTTTATATTATGGTTATTTGGGTGTTAATGATATTTACAAAGGACAAGTCCTATACCCGGACTAAGTTACACTTAAGAATAGGACGGGCGGTATAGTCATGTTAACTTTGAGGGAGTAATCCCGAAGAAAGAGGCATGAAATCCCCCACCCAGTGGAAAGCCCCTTTGAACATAGTATTTGTTTACCGAGTAATCGGGAAGACATTATTGCTTTCGACTTAGGATCCAGAGAAGTTGAGAACCGTAGAACCCTAACCCATCTTGGCCTTTTAGGTGTAGCGCGGAGACTATAATGGAGTAATTCGGAAGTAGTTATCATGCGATGCTACACTCGGATGAGTTTCTCTTGAGAATATTGCTAATTATTGAGTAATCAAGACGTTGGTAATATATGAAGGAGGAATGTAGACTCTGGTAACTCTTAGAACCTTGTCTTGCAGGTGTGATTAAACCTTTAGTACATACCCTGGGGGTGGGCTTTACCTTTGACTCCATGCTTGAAGCGTTGAACCTTTGAACCCCATGTTTGTGAACTTATGTGTAATTGTTGCATTATCATTCATCCATACATCCATAAGCATTTTTTGTAAAACATGTTTTTCAAGGAACTTAAGAATGATTTTTGCAGACATCTCATGTACTGTTACTATGGATTTTGGAAAAAGAAACACTCGGAGTTATAGTTTTAAGGAGCCTGAGATTGAAGAGTTGAAGAGTTTGATTCCCAAGATTGAGAACCCTATGGAGTTTCAAAAGAAATATGGATCCATCATCCCTCTCATGAAGCACAAGATGAAGGAAGGCATCCTTAATACGTTGGTCCAATTCTATGATCATTGCATCGATGCTTCACCTTTCCCGATTACCAATTAATGCCCGCTTTAGAAGAGTACTCCTATATATTTGGTTTGCCAATCACCGACTGTGTTCCTTTATCTGGTTTAGAAGAGGAACCCAAATCTCATGAGATAGCAACAATTACCCACTTGAGGAAGTCGAAGATAGAAGAGAACATGACTACTAAGGGGGGAATCTGAGGCTTACCTGTGCTGTTTTTATTGAAGAAAGCTCGTCACTTCGCTGAGATAAAAGATATTGTTGCCTTTGAAGATGTCTTTGCTTTACTTGCTTATGGATTGTTCTTGTTCCCTAACATCGATAAGTTTATGAATATCAACGCCATTAGAATCTTCTTGATTAGAAATTCGGTCCCTACGCTGCTAGGAGATACCTTCTATTCCATCCATCTTTGAAACTCCTATCAAGGAGGGATGATTATCTGTTGTGCACCATTGATATACCAATGGTATGTTTCTTATTTACCTAGGTCTGATGTTTTTTGGGATCTCGAGAAGGAGCCACGATGGGCGCCAAAAATTATGGCTCTTACTCATTCAGACATAGATTGGTATAATCGAGCTTACTACGACGTGACGATCATTGATAGTTGTGGTGTTTTTCCCAACGTTCCTCTTCTTGGTACGAAGGGAGGAATTAACTATAATCTTGTTCTTGCACGCTGCCAGTTTGGATACCCGATGAGGGACAAGCCGAACAACATTCATGTGAGTGGTTTCTTTCTACAAGAAGGAAAAGATCACAAAGCAGCTAAGGAGGAGATTGAAAGGGCTTGGCGCCACATCCATAGAAAGGGGAGAGACATGTTAGGGCATAGAGGTGTTGTTTCTTTGGAGCCTTACCTTTAATGGGTTCGTGCTAGGACTTATGCTCTCAAGATGCCCTATAATCCTGAGAAACCTTTATTCCCTATTGCTACGTCATCATCTATTGATATCCCTATTGAGAACATGAGAGAGTATCAGGAAAATATGGCTAGAATAAAGTCTGAAAGAGATGCTTGGAAGGAAAAGTATAGTATGTCTGAATACGAAAATAGGGTCTTCACTCGACAGCTGAAGGAGAAGGAGGATATGCTATTTATTCAAGAGATTGGTTTATTGATCATGATTAGAAGCTTCGTCAAAAGGATGCATTACTCAAGAAATATTCTAATGAAAGGAAGAGAAAGAAGGAAGATTTGGTAGGCGTTGCTCATGTTCCTAATCCACGGAAGGAAATCATTGATCAATTGGTAGCTGAGAAGAAAGAGATGGAAGATTTCTATGAATAGAAGATTAGGAAGCTCAAGTTACAAATGGCATTTGGTCCTTCATCCGATGATGATTCTGAGTGACCTTTAGTTCCTAGTTTTTTTATTATTATTACTTATGTCATTTTGTAAAACTCTGTAAAAGGGATTCATGTTCCAAAGTTGTAATTTACTGCTTTTATTAATGGGTTTTGTTGTCCCAAAGTTGTAATTTACTACTTTGATTAATGAAATGAGTTTTTGTTGTTCCAAATTCCTTTACCATTGATGTGTGCAAAGTTATCAAAGTTCTAAAGCTCCTTGAAAAACTATCAAAATAAATGATCATTTTCATCGCATATCATGCATCATCCAACATTCAATTTCACATGTTTTCTAGAGTCTTATTATTGTTTCTTTTTCCACTCCGATAGATTGCCAAGTTGTTTCACCGGTATAATACCCGAGCCAATCGTCAAAAGAGGATGGAATATCTGGAGCAGGAAAATCATGAGCTTCGCGAAGAGGTTACTACTCTTCGTATTGGAATGGAAAAGTGGACCGCATTGGTGGAAAGCTTGATGGCTGCTCAGAATCAGCCATCGACTTCAGCCGCTGAAATTCAAACTCCAACTATTGTGGTTTCCGAGATCGTCACCACTCCAACATCTTTGGCTCAAGTCAACTCTCCGCTCCAACATCAAATGCCGAAAGGTTTTCCATGGGGTATGCCTTACAATTTCATGCCATAAGGGTACCATCCTGCTGTACAACCCATGATTCAACCTGTTGTGTCTTTTCCTCAACCTGAGACAACTACTGTGCAACTTGTAGTCCAGCCTATGGTATCTTTCCCTCAACCTGTGATGACTACTTCCGCTCCTGTGGTTTACACTATTCCATACACAAATGAACCCATTTATCATGTTGAACCTGCTGAAAGTTTGGGCCTCTTCGATAGGATGGAGGAGTTCCAAGACCAATTCCAAGAAATGCAGAGGGAAATTAGAGCGCTTAAAGGGAAAGACTTGTTTGGGAAAAATGCTCATGACTTGTGTTTAGTCCCAAACATAAAAATTACAGCTAAGTTCAAAGTGCCGCTTTGAAAGATACAAAGGTGACTCGTGTCCGCAAAGTCACTTGACCATGTATGTGAGAAAGATGTCCACCTACTCTGATGATTATAATTTATTAATTCACTACTTCCAAGACAGTTTGACTGGTGCCGCTCTGAAATGGCACATGGGTTTGGATAGCACCCGAATCTGTAACTTCAATGACCTTAGTGAAGCTTTTGTTCGTCAATACAAGTACAATGTT